AGCTGTGGAATGTGGACCCACATTTTACTTCGGCTAACTCCAAGAGAATAAAGAGTCTTAATAACTTGCCTCGTTCACTTCATTGTGCTCATTCTATGCCTGCCTGGATGCAGCATGTCCAGTGTGTGACAGTTTTGCTGATGCACACGTTACAAGCCCTCGGGATAAAGTTCTTTCCTAAATTGAACTTACAGCAATGTAGGGCATAAAAAAAATACCAAACTCCTTTGTTATTTAGCCTGAACAAACCAATGGAGAATGAGCAGCATGAGCTCATCTGGAGAGGATTCTTTGAGGCTCACCTGCTTTAGCAGCAGGTCAACATTGAGACACTTTGGTAGTGGCAAGAGCCTGGATGCATTTGCTTGGTCTCTGAAAGTGCTGTTTGTCCCTAAATTCATAAGAACGGAATATAAATTCAAAAAATTAAAATGAAAACTTAGTAACTGATGTACAGTAATCGTCTAAAAAATAAACTATGTTTGGGGCTATGCTGAAATGTTATTTTGTCATGGGGAAAAGACATTTTCCCTTTCTTCTCTCAGAATAAGCAAGGCCCATAAGGGAACACTCAACTAGCATGAAGTCAAACCATATTTTGCACAACAACTTGAGACTGAGTCAGTCAGAAATGTTATAAACAAACAAACAAACTGTTGATCTTAGACTTTGTTCTCCTCCAATCTTAGAATAGTCAGACTGACGGTCTGAATTTCACAAAACAACAGTGTTTGTTTGAATTCATACCTACTTCTTTTTGACTGCAACTTCTATCAATGTAAAATATTCCTCCTTGTTTTGGGTCTAAATGGTTATTCAACTGTGTCAGAAAAAGCCGAAGAACTAATTTCTGGCATTAAGTTTGAACTAGTTAGATTTGCCAGCCTGAATGCTAAATGGACAGAGTTTCCTTCATGTGTGGCAGGATTTTTCAAACTGTGAGATGTACCTCGCTCGGGGAAGTGCAGACCGGAGTCCAGAGGAGGTATGAAGAACCTTTATGTTGTCCATAAATGTTACAATAACTCCAAAGTTTCATTATATTGTTTCCATTGTTCATTTGTATTTGTTTTGGTGTTTATGTTTTTAGGGGAATTGTGTATGTTAATATTACACTAAAGGGAAGTGAGATGGTAAAAAGTTTAGGAATTCTGATAGATGGGATTAATTTCTTTGAATTATTTCTTTCCCCAGAAGGCTCTTACAAAGGAACAGATTAGAGGACAGCCAAGATTCAATGCCACCAGTGTAAGATAAGCAGAACAAACATTCCAAGTGGGAAGTTACAGGAAGAAACAGGGTCTAAAGTCCAATTGGTGCTTTTGACGGATGGATAGATTTGGTTAAAAAAAGGACAACTAGTAAACTTCATTTGAAGGACTTGATGGTTTCATTTGTAGAATAAAATATCTCAGAATACAGGAAGTATTAAAAGAAACTATTAATGGGATAGTTACACTAAATCACTTTAAATAATTTATAAAGTTGTCCTGCTCTAGTAGTGTTATGTATATACGCACCAGACGAAGTTTGAATTTTGTGTAATGCTACCATAGTTTACCTTGTTTACTAATATTTTGCATAATGTTTAAGCAATACATCTAAAAAAATTTCGATTGAGCTGTAAACAGAGGATAATTCAATCAAATACCAATGACACTTGTTAATGGTTGTCAGAATCTACAGGTGATACATTAGCTATGAGTCCTTTTCCTTTCTAATATTTTGTAGGTCAGTTTGAACATGGTAATAGTGGGATTGCGAAAAGGACTGAGTATTTTTAAGTCTAGCTGGGTTGTGTTGGAAAATACAAACTTTCAAAGACTATGTCATATCCTATAGGCTCAGTTTCAAAACATGTACTTTACTAAGATAATAACTAACTTTGAAATAAACCTTATTAATTAATATTCTATCCAATGTACCATGTTTGACTATTACCCATGATGAAAGATTAGAAATCTTAAGAAATTGATTTTTTACTACTTAGAAATAAAACTGAGTTTAGAGACCAATATTGCACATCTCCAGCTTCTTTTAGGCTGGTGCTTATTTTACAGTCTGCTCAAATAAGATGGGTGTCTCTGTGTGTGTGTGTGTGTGATAATACATTATAATATTTCAAAAGAACAGTAATAATAAATCAACCCTCTCTTGAGATGAATGAATGCCAAGAAGATTTAACTAGGATTGAAAACGTGGTGAAGTAAAATGAATCTTCTAAATGCTATGAAGATGCTAGCGTTTGTACGGAGCTGACCAAATGAAATAAACTATTAAGGTACATAAGAATATTCATGGGTCAGATCAGATATCTAATACCTCAACTTGCATAAATGTAACATTGCTAAACAGGCAATATGGATGAAACATGGTTCAGCTGAGGCCTTTGTCACTTCTTGGAATGAGGCAATGGGGGGACGGCCTTAAACTAGATTGCATCTATATAGCATCTGGTTGTGTTGATTCTAGTGTTGCCCCAGTTTATAAGGAACCTCTGGAAGATGAAGCAGCCTAGAGAAGCACAGAGGAAAAGTAGGAATGAATCTGATCAGACATATAGTAGATAAGACTCCTTATTACGATTTACCAGGGCAGTAACAGTGGTTTAAACATGCTTATTTCTTTGTTTTTATTGCCTCTTTTGAGTGTCATCTAGCAGCCTACTCAGTCACTCCAGACCAGAATATATGCAGGGCTATTGCGAGGACTAGACAAAAACTTTCAGATTTACCAAAATTGTATGCTGGCTGGGTGTTGTTGTTAGTTGCAAAGTCGTGCCTGACTCATCGCAACCCCATGGACAACGTTCCTCCAGGCCTTCCTGTCCTCTATCATCCTCTGGAGCCCATTTAAACTCATGCCTACTGCTTCAATGACCCCATCCAGCCACCTCATTCTCTGTCATCTCCTTCTTCTTTTGCCCTCAATCTTTCCCAGCATTAGGCTCTTCTCCAGTGAGTCCTTCCTTCTCATTAGGTGGCCAAAGTATTTGAGTTTCATCTTCAGGATATGGGCTGGCTGGGTAGGTCCTATGAAATTGAATAAGGATGATCTTGTGATACTACATGGGAAGAGTTTGATCCATTAATCCTGAGGAAGTGGATAGCATCTTACTTAGGTAGTGTTGATATGGACATTGGTGTTTTACATTTTGTGCCCCTCCTAGTTGGTTAAGACCTCACTCTTCCTCAAAAAACTATTGCTGGATCCTACAGAACTGGACAATTTTCATTCTATCTCCACTTTCTGGAGCAGTTACTGAACTGATAAGTCAGTTTACAAGCCCAAATGTACAACTGTAGAAAGCAGTGTCAGACTCTTTGTATCAGGATTCAGAGTCAGAATACTGTATTGAGATAGCCTTGGTCATATTTGTGGTTGATCTCTGGCAGACTCAGGATGGTAGTGATACATCCATCCTGGCACTCCTTGATATCATGGTGGCTTTCAACACTATTGAACATGGTATGCTTTTGGATTGACTTAGGGGGAATGGAATGGGGGCACGGTTTGACACAGTGATTTTTTTCCTCTGGGTCTGTTTCCAGTTGTGTTTGGGGGAGGGGGAGAAAGTCTAGTCCAAGGCCCCTACTTTGTGGGGTGCCTCAGGGCACTCTTCTGTCCTGGATATCTGGGCAAAGTCTTCCATCTGTACAGTCACTGTGAGTTGGGCAGCCATAAACATTTGTTTCATAAACACATAAAACACAAGATGCAGTATCATCTATAAACTTGGTGCTATCATCAGAGAGCACCAAGCACCCAATAAACTGATGATATTCAATTGTACATCTTTTCTCCTGGCTGTCCACGTGCCTGAAAACTGGAGGAGCCTGAATAGGGAAAAACAGGCTTTGGTCCAACACTGTGAGAACCAAGTTTGGATTGACCCGTTACAGAAACTGCAATTGGTCCTGAATGTGGTGGTGCAGGTAAGGAGTCACATTATCTGAGATAGGCGGCCATATAATTTTAAACAAATATGTTACATGGCTTATCTAGTTTTGTCTTAGTTTGTTGTATGAACCCATTTAATGTGGTTTATTCAGTAAGCTATGGTTAAGAAAACTTGGCATGCTGCACACGCTCAGTTACCATCACGACAGTCTTCCCAGAACTTTCCCATATTCCCCGCTACTGATACTTATAGGCGCACATTACTTATGAATGAGAGATAGGCATGAATACTGGGAGTTGCAATGCCAATCTGGAAAGCACCAGGATAGGGAAGGCTGCTATAAAGGGTGGTTGTTTAGCTCATCTTTCTAAAATTAAACAGCACTCCTCTTGGCAAGCATAGATGGAAGCTGGAGTAATAGATCTTCTTGAATCTTCTTATTCACAATGTTTAGCCAGCCTTCCTACCTAAAGTAACTCCTTTCCCTATTAGCCTCTGGTAAATGATTTAAATCAGAAGCATAATCTGCTAGGGTGAAGTTTTGCCTGCAACGCGAGTGGGTGTCAGCGCTTGGAACGGAGGTCACGGAAAGATTTCAAAGCTTCTCCGCAAATACAATGTGTCGCTTTATAACGCTGAATAGCCCGATGAACGGAGCATACCGGCTATTGGGCAGCTGAGCTAGCGCCTTTTCTAAGCCGGGCGCCCTGCAAGCGAGCTGCCAGTTCTTCACTCGACGGGCAGAATCTCCCCTCGAAATGCTCTAAAGCGAACGGGATATTCTTCGACCGGGGAGAACAAAGCCCCCCCCGCTAAACTGTAGGCAGAAGGAGTTGGTTGTCAGCGTCCGGGAGATAAGAGGCAAAGGGATCTTCCGAACACCGGATCACCCAACCCAGCCGATCGCTATCAGCTCTCCCGCTCCGATCGAGGACCGAAGATGAAGAGAGCGAGAGAAATAAGGAGCCTCTCTGAGGGGGCGGGGCATCGAGGGCCAATCCCCGGCCAGAGAGGCGTGGCGGGGCAGACAGGTGACTAATCCCCCTGCCGGACGGCAGAGTTCCCGTCTCTGGGCGGGCGGGGCGTCGCGTCACGTGCCAAGGGGAGTTAGAAAAAGTTGCGAAAGCGCAAAGCGAAGAGGGAGGCATGAAAGGGCCGCCTATAAAACGAGGATTAACTGGTGGGGAGAAGCAAAAAGAAGTTGGAGCTTCAGCATTAAGGAAGCCGTAGTGGGAGCCTCTGGTGGCCACTCTCTTTTGCAGTCCGGGAGGCAAAACTCGCCCAGGCGGGGCAATGGGGTGCCTAGAGAAGCCCGATATCGTGCAGGAGGCGAAGCCGGAGCTGGTGGAAGCGGAGGCTCCTAACGGGTCAATCCCGGCACTGGCGCTGGAGGTCCGTCTGACCTGGCGCCGGTGGCTGATCGTGATCCTCTTCAGCTCCTACTCCTTCTGCAACGCGTTCCAGTGGATCCAGTACGGCAGCATCAACTTGATCTTTGCCGGGTTTTACGACGTGACTCCTTTCGCTATCGACTGGCTCTCCATGTGCTACATGATCGTCTACATCCCGCTCCTGTTCCCTGTCGCCTGGCTCCTCGACCTGAAGGGGCTGCGGCTCATTGCCCTGGCCGGGTCCGCCCTCAATTGCTTGGGAGCCTGGGTGAAGACGGGGAGCGCGGAGCCCCATCTCTTCCCGGTCACGATCCTGGGCCAGATCATCTGTTCCCTGGCGCAAGTCTTCATCCTGGGCATGCCGTCCCGCATCGCGTCCGTCTGGTTTGGCCCCCGAGAGGTCTCGAGTGCCTGTTCCATCGCTGTCTTTGGCAACCAGGTAGGAAAGGAAATAGTCTGCTACAAAGGGATGTAAGAAAGTAAGAAGTTGCTTACCCTCGGGCAGAAAGAGAGAACCAAAAAGACCTTGACACTCTCGTTCTCTTCCCCCCCCCCCCCCGCCCTCCAAGAAAAGTTTGCAGCTTGGAAAAGTCAGACAAAAAGAACACACACATACACACAGAGGGCACATTCTTTCAATATTGGAGTGAAAGGTCTCCATAAGCAGAGGCACTGGATCACATCATCAGGGAATTACAAGTATGCAAACTGGATTAGGATTTAATGAAAGCATCCACTCAAAGCCAAACCACCTGAGGCTGGGAGTGGGAGATGGGAGAGGGAGCTTGAAACCTAAAGAAGGAGAATGTCTGTGAAGTAGACCTTACAGGATGGAAAATGTGGTGGTAAACTTCAAAAATGTATACTAGAAACTTTCTTTGGTAATGATATCCCTTGATGATGCTTAGTGCTTCTGTACCGGAGACAAATTCCTTGTATGTCTAATCACACTTGGCCAAGTAAAGTTCAATTCATTTGTGTCTTCTTCACAAATGTCTATAGATGGTATGTGTTATATAAGCCTTTTCACTTTCTGAAAGCAGAGGGGGGGGGAAAGGGTGGTGTGATATAATGATTATGGTGTTTGATTAGGAACAGGGAGACTTGGCTTTTAGTTCACTCTCAGCGCTGGAGCCTTCTTGGGTGACTTTGGGTCAAATAATCATTCTCAGCCCAATCTAACTTCCAAGGTTCTATTGTTGGGAAAAACGGAAGGAGCAAGTGCAACATATACCCTCTTCAATTCCTGAAGGAAAGATGTTAGCAGTCTAATAAATAATTAAATGTGATCCAGACACCACATGAACCAGTGTAGGAAAACAATTGAACAAGTAACCAAAGTGATATTGTTAACAATAGAAGTTTGGGATGAGGAGTCTTAAAGGTTATAGCAATGTTAATATTTTTAATACTGTACTTCGGTAGTGTTTGACAATGATTGAGGGCAAAAAAAGAAGGGGATGTCAGAGAACAAGGTGGCTGGATGGACTCACTGAAGAGTCGGTGTGAGCTTAAATGGTCTCCGAGTGATGGTAGAGGACAGGAAGGCCTGGAGGAAAGTTGTCCATGGGGTCATGATGGGTCGGACATGACTTCGCAACAAACAACAAGTGTTTGACTTACTTAACTGACCTGATTTTACAAAATATTTTGTAGCGGTTGTTAAAGAAAAGCAGCAGTCGTGAAGTGAACTCATTTTCCACAATGGGCAGGGTTTTTTTTGCAGGGAATCAGAAGTAAATGCCGGTTTCTGGCAAAAAAAACAACGATAAATTGTGACTGTGGGATGTTGCAAAACACCGTAAATGTGGGCTGCTTGCCTAGTGCCCAATATGTGACCGTATGCCCACAGGGAAGGTCTGGTCATCGGAACTTTGAATCTGAGTTGTAAATGCCTTTTGGAGGGTCTGGCATAACTTCAGAGTCACTAAGCTACTGGTTGTAAATTGAGAATTACCTGTATATCTACCAATATACTGTATTTTCTGAGTATATGTATATGTTATTGTTCAGTGTTGTGAATGGATTGCTTCCAAGTTTGGAAGCTAAAAGGACTGGGTAGATTCTGCTGCTATTAGATCTGAAATAAATAGTAGTTTATCCTTCAGCTCATTCTCCAGCTGTTAGAGTAAAGAACATACACTCAGAATGACATTACATGCTGTATACAGAAAGGATGTCTTCCCCATTTTTTTTTTTCTCATCAGGTTGGTAGTATACATTCTAAACCCTTTCTCTAAGGGTTTCATTTCAAACTCTGGGTTTTTCTGCCAGAGAAGTATGGCTATGGCTTGTTGAGTAGGGAAATTAATAGATTAACCATGTTGTTAAAACATTTATCATTGAAGATGATTTCACAAATGAAACAAATTATGTTTGAGTGTGGAGTCTCTTTTATATTAGTGTTTGGCTGGGTGAGGAATGAAGCTGTCAAGGCAGGAATCACTGATTCCTTAGGCCATATTAAACAGGCATAAAGTCTAAAGACCATGAAAAGAAAGGGCTTATGTTGAAGATCACAGGAATGATTGAAGACCAAATTGTTCCAGAAAGCAACTGTAGCGTAAGAGCTTGTGCTTAGTGAACGTTTAGCACATGATCATTTATTCTGATTTTGTTGGTTTTATTTTTTGTGTGTGTGTGGATGTAAGCTATGGAGAGGTGATATATTTTGCAGCAGTATAGAAATATAATAAAATAACAAACAACTGGATTCTTTTTTTCTGTTTCTCCCAAAGAGGTCTAGGGAAACAATTTCCTTACACTTGAAAACTACATATAAAGCCTGACTACTGTTGGTAGTAGCCAACAGTAATTATTGTCTTGGTGGTAATTAACATCTTCTCCAAGATAGCCCATCCAATTCACTCCCTTGCCATGGCTTCTACCATGGCCTTGAGACAGTTGTTTTGTTCTTTCATCAAGTGTTTTAGAACTATGACTTACTTTAATAATCTAATTTCTAATAGATGCCCAGATTCATGCCATCCTTTTTAGAAAGTTCTGCTTCAACTTTTGCATGTAAAGCTTTATCTTTTCTCTGTTCCTGGATAATAAAACACAGATAACAGATGTGACCTTCAAATAATACTTTTGTTGCTATGTAATTTATCAGCAAGATAATTAGTCTGATCATTTCTCAATGACTAAGTTTACTTATAATATTTTATTTATTTAAAACATTTATATGGCTGTCCATCCGCAATAAATTTTGGGTGGCTCCCAGTATCTACTAAAGTTCATGTTTTCCCTAACAGACTACGGTCCATACCTTCTGCTGAAGACTTTCTGGCTCTTTCAGTGATCAAGATCACCTGCAAGGCCCCTATTGACCGTCAGGAAAAAGAGAACATTGGAAGGGAGATGTTGAAGGAATAGAGTTGGTGAGGTGGGAACCACTGTTCTCAGACTCAGCCAATCTATTATGTCAACTTTGTTTGGATGCCTCCTAATTTTAAAACCAGGAAGTGGATATTCATATTTCTGTTGACTTGGTAGGATGAAAGGATAATACAAACAGAAAACGGGGGGGGGGGGGCAATGGAGGATAAGATATCTGTGAACTAGAGCAGTCATATCTTCTGAATATATAACTGACTGCCCTTATTTTTGTCTGCAGTGAAGCCATTAATTTAACCATTTCTAAATATAAGGCTAAATGTCTATATAGCAATGTGATTTATTATTGTATCTGGTCTGAATCTTGACAGTTTGAACTGTTATGTTTTGAAAGCCTACTAATACAATTACCTACATAATGAGCTGAGGAACAATGGATGCTGACATCCCAGAAATATGCTGACTCTGTGAGAATGTATAAGCTACTTAAGCAACTCTATATTGCAAAATTGCTTTTGTATTGAATATATTTATCTTTTGTTAGATCTTGTGGGACTGGTTAATTTACATGATATTTATCTTTCCATTGTTTTCATCCAAAAGTTATTCTACTTATGAAAAGTTGCTAATTGTTCTTTTTGATAGGGAATACTTTTGTGTTGTTCATGTTTAGTAGACAATGTATATCTACTAAAAGCTATTTTAGAAGTTTTTAGTAAGCTTATTTGTCCATTATTAGATTATTCCTAATTCCGATTCTTAGCTGGCTGGTGAATTCTGGGATTTGAAGTTCACACATCTTAAAATTGCAAAGTTTGAAAATCATTAATCTAGGTGGTATCCTTTAATGAAAAGTTTGTTATGACTACAGTTATGAAGCTCTTTCTGCTGATTCTCTAGCTTTGTCTCTGATTCCCTAGTAAGTCACATGCTTGAACTTTTCCAGTAACCTTCTCAACAGATATACTGTACTCTTAGTGTATTAAGAGGAACTTAACCTTTGTGTATAGTATCATTGGGTTTTGCCAAATAATTTGGTTTAAACTGGTTATTGTGACCCAATTTGTTTGATTTCATGATAGCTGGCAGTCCAAAGTGGACTTTAGTGGTATGTTAACCAGATGTATAATCTACAAATGAAGTCTGAAGCTAGACTGGGGCTACTGTAGTAATGTTGTTCTTATTGATAAAATATGCCTTATTCAGAACATCCATTCATCCACCCGTATGTTTTATTACATGTATGTTCTTTTATACTCTATGTGTTCTTTGATATATCTGGAAATGCCTGATAGCTAAAATTCCTTTTTCTGAGCACCTTATCTGAAAGCCACAGAAAAACCCTGGTAGTAAACACCTCATTTAAATTATGCTACTTCGTACAAGAGCATTAGCAGAAGATTGCAGGGAGGGAATGAGGTTCAAAAAGCATTGAATAATAATAATAAAATAATAATAATAATAATAATAATAATAATAATAATAATAATAATGCAAAAAGGAAATAATAATAATATTATATTATATAATGTTATATTATATTATTATTATATAATATAATATATAGTATATTATATTATATTATATTATATTATATATTATTATTATATAATATATTATATTATTATTATATAATTATAATAATAATTATAAAAAAGGAAAAATAATAATAAAAAAGGAAAACAAAGCTCTGCATGGCCAATACTTGAAAAGTATTGAAGACAAAGCTGACCAGAAACTAACTTGGAACTGGTTAAGATCAGGAATACTGAAAAAAGAAACAGAAAGTTTTATTTTGGCAGCTCAAGAACAAGCCCTAGCCACAAACATGAAGGCAAAAATTCAACATGTTACCACCAACAGCAAATGCTGCCTCTGTAATGAGAAAGATGAGACAGTCGACCACCTGATCAGTGGGTGCAGCAAAATTTCACAAACTGACTACCTACAACACCATGACCACGTTGCTAAGATCATTCACTGGAAATTGTGTCAGAAGTTTGGATTTGAGTATAGCAAAAACCACTGGGAACATCAGGTTGAGAAAGTTTTAGAGAATGAGAAACTCAAGATCTTGTGGGACTTCAGGATTCAGACTGA